GTGTATTTCTTTGTGTGTCCTCGGGCCCCTCGATATTCGGGGCCCCCCGCGGGCCCCCGGACTGCCAGAGCTCGATCCGGGTGGCAGGAAGGGGTCCTGGGGGAAGGCCTGGGGGCCCAGGACCCGCTTCCCTCGGGACCCGCCGCCCCCCATGGCCAAGCGTGCGTGGCTCCCTTCCGGGCTCTTCGCCCCGGTCGTCGCTTCCGAGCCGAGAGGGGCCGATGCCTTCGTTGCCTCGGCACGCCCGTCTTGAGACGCTGCACGTACCGTGCTTGCAACGTCCGTGCCCATACGTTGCGTGTTGGCTCCTCGTGTTGGCCCACGTTTTGGCGAGCGTAGCGCGTCAGGCCTGCGGGCCCAGCCGACGTATCGAGCTCCGCATCGGCACGCTGCGCGTGGCGTGCTGTGCGTATCGGGGCAGCTCGGGCCGATGCCTTGCTCGGCGGCTGCGGCGGCGTGTGCCCGAGGCTGGCGCGCGGGGGCCGCGGCTCCGGCTCCGTGTACACGCGCGGCTCCGCGGGGGGGGGCCGCCGCGGGGCCGCGCGCGCGGGGGAGCCGCCGGGCGTAGCGTGGCCAGGCGTCGGAGGAGGACTCGGCGTCGGAGGAGGACTCGGCGTACACTCGGGGCGCTGAAGAAGGAACCCTTTTCGATGGGGAGGGGCTTGGTGTTCCTTGATTGTTTTACAGTTTGCCTAGGGTTTTCCTGAGGTTTTTCATGGGCAATCGAAGTTTACCTTTTGGAAAAAGGGGCCTCGTTCCTTGTTTAGGGTTCCTTAGGTCAACGCCCCGACTGTACAGTCGGCCCAGACTGTCAGGGCGATCCTGCCTGATCAAGGGCAGCCTTCTGTCCTGTGCCTCTCGACCCATGCCCTCTTGCATTCCTGTGGCAGTGGTGGCCCCCAGAAGGGTCTCGTGTCCTCTCGCGTGACCTCTCCAGTCAAGTCCGACTGTACTGTACGGCAGGTTCGTGTCGTGCCGACCCCGGCATTGGTTCCTGACACCGCGGGGATCGTTCCACCTTGAACGATCGGCCGTTCCCGAAACGTCCGATAGTTCAACATCGGCCGATTCTGGGTTGCTGGCGGTGTTCAACATTGAACGCTGGCGGCGGGGTCGCCGCTGGTTGGCACGACGCGGTCGGCAAGGGCGTCGCGCACGCTCGGAAACTTTATAGTATAAGTGTTTCTGGTGGGTGTTTTGTGGTCATGCCGCTCAGGAAACGATGCACTAACAAGATGTTACTACATGTTGGGGTCGGACGTGCGTCTTCAACAGGGGCACATCGTACAAGCATGTCCGGTTGCGTCTCAGAGAAGAGGGACGACAGGTTCGCGTCGTGCCGATGCGGCGGCGACCTCGGCGCGGGCGTTCACAGTTGAGTGCCGCCGGTTGCCCAGAATCAGCCGATCTCTAGCGATCTCCGCTATCGGAGAGTCGCGATTGTTCAAGTTTGAGCGATCTACGCGGTGGCAGAAGCTGAGGTTCTGATACGGCTACGGAATCGGTATCGGTACCTTTTCGTCCTCTGAAGCAGTATTGGTTGCGGTGTCGTTCGTGGTAGCGGTAGCGGTAGCGGTAGCGGTATCGGCCCAACAGGCGCATCGTATGTTTGGCTCGATTTCGCCTCTTTTTGGCCTTCTGGGAGGCCCTCGTCGCCACGGCTGGATTCGTCTGGAGATTCTAGGCATTGCGCACCCGGGAAGAGGTCTGGAGATTCGCGGTATCGGGACCTCGTTGTTCCTCCATTGTGGCCAGGCTGGCCGTACCCCCCCGACCTCTGGCGTTGCACTCTTTGTTCTTCGCTCTTGCAATCCAACCGTTGTTCTTGCATTTTGGCTGGGGCCGTTGCGGGGCCCCAGGGCCACCGTGACATTGATCCAGGACGAAGAACGGTCCCCGGGTGTGCGTCGAGACCCGGGGAATCCAAGAGGCACCGATACCGGTACTCCTCGGGCCTCTCCAGGGGTGCGTTCTAACCAGGATTTCGAGGCGAGTCCAGCGGTGGCGACGAGGGCCTCCCAGAAGGCCCCAAAAGGGGGAACGCGAGGGAAGGGTAGTGGCATGGGTAGCTCTTCCTCCCCGGAATACCTCTGGGGCCCGCGAATAGAAAAATCACACCTTCGGATGTATGTGCTCAGGTTGGTGGGCCTGTTTTCTACCACCACCACCAGCATAAGTTGGAGGGGGAAGGAGGTGGAGGAGGAGGAGGAGGAGGAAGAGGAGGAGAAGGAGGAGGAGGAGGATGATGAGGAGGAGGAGGAGGACCCCCTCTCCCTTCAACTTCTGGTGGTGGTGGTGGAAAACAGGCCCATCACAGGTGAGCTGTGCCCCTTACCCACTTAGGGGGCCCAGCGTGTGCCGACGGCTTCTCGAGAGGGGCGTCGGAGCCCGAGGGTCCCCTGAGGGGACTGAGGACCACAGCTCCCTCAGGTGTGGCTGGTCTGGCCCTGCGACCATATGGGAGGAGGAGGAGGAGGAGGAGGAGGAGGAGGAGTGAGGAGGAGGAGGAGGAGGAGGAGGAGGAGGAGGAGGAGCGGAGGAGGCGGAGAAGGGGAGGAGGAGGAGGAGGTGGAGGAAGCAGGAGGAGGAGGAGGAGGAGGAGGAGGAGGAGGAGGAGGAGGGGAGGAGGCGGGGGAGGAAGCAGGATGCAGGAGCAGGAGCAGGAGGAGCAGGAAGGAGCAGGAGGTGCAGGTCAGAGGTGGGGGAGGAAGGGGGAGGAAGGGGGGGGAGGAGGGGGAGGTGGGGGGGGGAGGACGGGGGAGGAGGAGGAGGAGGAGGAGGAGGAGGAGGAGGAGGAGGAGGAGGTGGAGGGGAGGAGGAGGAGCAGGAGGAGGAGGAGGAGGAGGAGGAGGAGGAGGAGGAGGAGGGGAGGAGGAGGACGGGGAGGAAGGAGGAGGAGTGTAGGAGGAGCAGGAGCAGGAAGCAGGACAGCCAGGAGGAGGAGGAGTGACGGAGGAGGAGGAGGAGGCAGGCTGGAGGAGGACGGAGGAGGAGGAGGAGGGGTGGAGGAGGAGGAAGGAGGAGGAGGGGGGGAGGAGAGGAGAAGGAGCAGGAGGAGCAGGAGGAGCAGGAGGAGGAGGAGGGGGCGAGGGGGAGGAGGGGAGGAGGGGGAGGAGGGGGAGGAGGTGGGAGGAGGAGGAGGAGGAGGAGGAGGAGGAGGAGGAGGAGGAGGAGGAGGAGGAGGAGGAGCAGGAGGAGCAGGAGGAGCAGGAGGAGGAGGGGGGCGCCAATCCCTGGTGTTCAATCGATGCTGGGTTATACCCCTGCAGGAGTTCAGTCGGCTACACACGTCTTTCATACCCTGAGCCCTCGCCGGTGTTTCTGAAAGCAGGGGGAGGTATCCCATGTGGTTCCCTACGCAGCGGAATATTCCGCCAGTGAGAACTTCTGGCGAGACCTCAGCGACGGTGACGGCGAGGGCGGAGGCGACCACGACGCCACCAGCGACAGCGGCAGCGACGGCGACGGCGACGGTGGCAACGGCGGTGACGTCGGCGAGGACGCTGGCGCCTGCGAGGGCGCCGACGATGACGCCGACGACGGCCCCCGCGGCGACGAGGAGGATGACGATGACGACGCTGGCGACGGTGGGAGCGGCGACGACGTCGACGGCGGCGACGGCGAGAGCGGCGACGGCAGCCACCGTGGGGGCAACGGGCGTGTGGCCGGAGCGCCCGCGCTCGGCGCGGGGGCGGTGCGCCGGAGCGCACGCGGAGGGCTGCTGGAGCGCCCTTCGCACCCCCGCGCGGGGAGAATGCAGCGCTGGAGTGGTCGCCGTGGGCTGCTGGAACTCGTCCTCCTCCTCCTCCTCCTCCTCCTCCTCCTCGTCCTCGTCCTCCTCCTCTTCCTCCTCCCTTTGTATAGGGCGCTGCCACAAAACAGTAAAGGGTACTGGGGGGGGGCTTGGGGAGAGCGAGGTCGGATCTTACCCTGGGGCACTTGTAGATATTCACACATGCCCCTCGGAAGCAATCGACTAAGGCTGCAAATTGCCTGGTGCAAGAACTTATACGCACATTAAGCACAGGGGCACGGCGCTCCTCTCCTCTCCACTCCTCTCCTCCCCCCTCCTCCTCCTCCTCCCCTCTTCTCGCCTTTCCTCTCCTTCCTCCCCTCTCCTCTCCTCTCTTCCCATTATCATCCTCCTCCTTCTCCTTCGGCGCCCCCCCGTCTCTCTTCCCATCCTCCCACCACCTGCCATCCCATCTTCATTCAGTTGACGCTTTGGGTCGTAGTCTGACCCTGCTGTTTTTATTGATATTGGTGTGCCTCCCGATCTCACGTCTCGTCCTACTATTCGTTCGCGTTCGTACCTGCTCTGTCTGCCCCGTCTCCTCCAGCTTCGCTGTCATCGCGGCGTCCCTGCCCCATCCACCCCCAACCTAGCTCACGAGGGACGACAGCGACGACCAGGGCGACTGCGGCGGCATCGTCAGCGGCAGCGCAGGGACGACAGGAGAGAGGAAGGAGAGAGGAAGGAGAAGAGGGGAGGGCGACAGCGACGACGAGGGAAACTGCGGCGGCATCGTCGGCGACAGCGCAGGCACGAGAGGAGAGGGGAAGGAGAGAGGAAGGAGAAGAGGGGAGGGGAGGGGCGGGCAGGGGAGGAGGGGGAGAGAGGACGGAGGAAATGGGCGAGTGAGGGATGGGCGGGTGGGCGGATCAAGGGCGGAGAGTGGGCGAGAGAGGGGCGGGTAAGATGCTGAGAAGACAGCCAGCAATGGCTTGTCACAAAGTGCTCACTGGACCCCTCGAGCGTCGCCCAGGCCAGTGCCTCGAGCCTCCGAACTGCTCAGCTCGGACGAGACGGGCGGCCCAGGCGCCCCAGAAAAAAAAACGGGAGCGGAGCCGCAGAGCTCTCTCCTGGCCACCGAGTCGGTGGTGTTCGCATTGTCGCATCTATCGTCGTCGCTGTTCGTAGGTCGCTCGTCCTCCTTCCTATCCTCGTCCTCTCGACTGTGATCTGAGAACCCTCGAGCTCCGAACTCCCAATCCCCGATCTATTGCAGCGCCTGCGAGCCCTTCTTCTTAAGGGTCGGCCTGTCGCTTGCAGGGGCAGCTGTCGACTTCGACGGGCCAGCACTGCCTCCTGCGATACTCGAGAAGTCGGTACCACCAACACTGATGTGAGACTTCTCGCCGCTGGTGTCTGGCGGCCTGGCAAGGACGGCTGCAACCCGATCCTGCAAGGCCTGATTCAAATCCTGGAGCTTCGCATTGAAACGCTTGGGCAGGATGCCCGCAGTCAGCTCCAACGAACGCTGGAGAGCACACGCAGGCGCAGCATTGATGCAGTTAGCCAGCACCATCTCCGACAAAGCACTACCAAGCTTCAAAGCAAGCGACGAGCGATTCGCACTGTACTCACTGAGAGACCGAACCACACTTATCTCCTTGTCGTCAGCCCACTTGAGCATGGAGACGTTGGAGACCAGGAACTCACATATGCGCTCGGATGTGGGCGTCGTGGCAATGAACGTCTCGAAACGTCTGATCATCGCCGCCCATGCCGAGTCGTTGCCGTCCGAGGTGAGAAACGCGAGCTCCCCCTTGAACGACCACTTGTTCAAGGCTTCCTCCAAGCCGCTGCACTTGTCCAAGAACTGCTGGATTCTTCCTCCACGTCGGGCTTGGTGAGGTCGCGGAGCGCAAGCCTCCGCGCCCTGATCAGCTCATTCTCATGCTTCCCGAGCGACTCCAGCTCGCGAACGTCGTTCGTGACGGTGATCGCGTCCATGAGGGCGGTCGTCAATTCGATCATGCCGATCTGTCTGCCGTCTTTGACCCAGCCGAACGATCTCTCCAGGGCTTTCATGCTCCGTGCTGACACCAAGAGCGCCTTCACACCATCAGGCACTTTGCTCTCGAACTCCTTCGCAACGGACAAGAATGCGTCAGAACAGAACGGCGAGTGCACGACGCGTCGGACGTAGGACATCAAGGGGGTGGCCACCTGGACTCCAGCCCAAGCGTGGTTCAGTTTGTGCAAGAAGGTCATGAAGCTGTCGCCCAAGATGTCGTTCACCTCCTGGTCAGCAGCTGGCTTCAGGCCCGAGTCCATCAAGTGAGCCTTCACCCACTCCCTGAGCCCCGTCGCGCAGTCCTCCGTGACCGTGGAAGTCGCCATCAGCAGACTCTTGACGTGGTGCGTGAGGATCATCTTCTTGCGTGTGCTCTGGAGGGCCTGGGACTTCGGCGCGAAGTGGGCGCAGTACTCCAAGACGTTTCCAACCCAGTAGAGCTCGTCCCACGTGTCATCCTCAACCTCGCAGTGCAGGGCGCGTGATAGTTTCCCCTCGAGCTGACAAACTATCACGTCAGTCGCATGACCTCCATCCCCTCCCTCCCGCCCGAACCCCATCGAAATTCCAGGCCGCCCGATTAGGGTGGAAGAGGGGGATGCAGAGTCGAGTCGGACCGAGGACCCCATCGGAAAGACCAGCGGTCAGCCGACAGTCGACCTCAAGACCAGATTTAGCGGCCCCCTTGGGGGGCCCATCCCTTCAGGACGGGGGGGGGGGAGCAGCGACGTGAATAGGTTGGCAGCTCGCCTGGAGATCCTCCACGCTGAACCAGCTCATCAACGTATTGCACATGAACGCGTTCACCACCTTGGCCATGTTCATGTTCTCCGCGTAGACCGTATCCTCGAAGTCACTCGGGTCTGCATTCACGATGCACGTGGCGCAAAATTTCATTGAGATATCTTGCTGCTCCTCCTGGCAAACGTCCACGACGGCGTTGTAGGCATCCTCGCTCTTGCCGCTGGGCTCCTTCAAGCCCGTGGCGATACTCAAGACCTTCTCCTTGAACTGGCTGGCAGCCGCCGCAGCCTCCTTCACGCTATCTGCATTGGCGAGGTTGCCATCTGAGGCGAGCAGCTCGACCAGGTGATCCCACGCGATTTTCATGACGTTGCTGTTCGAGAGTGCCCTCACCCCTGCAGCGGTAGCTAGATTCCGTACACGCGTCGAAACTGCGTCGATCTTGGAGAGCATCATTCTGGACATCTTGCGCAAAGCCCCTGCCACAGGCTTCGCCTCACGAATGCACGTCAACACGTCGCCTGCGACGACGAGAGCGGACACGTCCATGTAGGGCTGCTCGAAGAGACTGGCCTTCGTGAAAGGTTCCCGCGCGTCGTCACACACGCTGAAGTCGAAAGGCTGGAACTCCTTGCCCAAGTACTCCTTGACGTCGGCAATCCTCTTCAGCACCGTCGCCTCGCTCGGACTCTCGATGACGATTCGCTCCACCATGTCGGTCACAAGGCCAGCCTGAGTTCGCACCGCCAGCGAGTCCGCCACGATGGCGTCAGCCTTGCACGACGCGGTCTCCCACAGCAGCCCGAGGCACAGAGTCTCGACGCGAGGCCACTCAACTGGTTGAGAATCGCCCTCGGGAGCAGGAGCTCGGGGGCACATGGCAAACTTGATCATGAGTGGCGGTTCGCTCGTCGCTAGCGTGAAGCAGGCTTGCTGGATGATCTGCGACCTTAAGCTCACAGAACAACCGACCATAACCTGGTGCTCCGCGCTGGTGATGGTCCGCTTTGCCACGTCCACGGTCTTGCCCCTGATCTCCTCGAAGAAGATACGCCTGGCCGAGATCTCCTTGATCACCATCCCTGCTTGTTCCGACTTCGCTGAGCAATCATCGTCTCCAGTGAACCTGGCCATCTCGCGGGCGGATTTGGCCAATGCGTTGACGGTGGCATCGTGGATCCTGCTCTTCGGGCGCTGCGTCCACTCCTTCTCTGCCGAATGGTGCTCACGAGCCCTCTCCATGACCTTCTCAAACCTCTGAGTGGCGGACTCCTGCGGCGTGGGCTTGCCCTTCTTGCGAGCAGCGGCGCTGCCGACCTAAGGGCCAGCCGAAACTCACCCTGCCCTGGAACGGGGGGGGGGCATAGCGGTCCTCCGACATCTTCTTCTCTCCCTCATCCCTCATCCTCATTCGCTTCGTCGGGGGCGGCATGAATGCGCGTGCATCTCCACGCTGATCTATGGCAAGGGTCGGGCCGTCGAGAGGCCCACCCCTTCCCTTGGCAAGACCAGCACGGAAACCTCAACACGCAGTCATCCCGCCCCTGGAAGGAAGAGGGGAGGGAATCCGACAAGCGGAGGACGAGAAGACGACGGAAGACCACCATACCCCCTCACCCTACTCCCACAGGTAGTTGAGGTTTCGCCAGGCTTGTGCCTCAGGGCGCCCGCTGCGTGGAGGGCGGCGGCAGTCGCCGTCGGACTCGCCATCCTCATCGATCGGCTCGACGGTGTTGCTCGGGGGCAAGCTGCACTTCGAGCGCGGCGTCGCCGCCGCCGACGCAGCCCGGCCTCCAGCGGCACCTCCACCACTGCAGATTGCAGACGCAGCCTCCCCCTCCTCTGAGTCCTCCTCGTCCTGGAGCTGGGCGCGCTGCTCGCCGTCGTCGGAACTCACGTCGCTGAGCATCGCGACGTCGTAGTCGACGTCCCGCGCGCGACCGCCGACATGTCCAGCTGCGGCAGGGGCCATACCTCGAATCCTCTTGGCCTTCTTGATGTCGGTGATCGCCTCGGCTGCATGCTCATCGTCCACGGGCTTCTGTCGCTTCTGCAACTGCACCTCGCTCTTGACGCCCCTGCGAAACTTGTAGTTGCCCCTGTTCGGGTTCGGGTCGTTGACGTACCAGACACCCACCGATTTCAAACGTGCGTCCCGAGAGATCTCAATGTCGGGCCACGTCTTGCGAATCCTCCTCGTCAAGGTGTCGTCTGCGTCGCCGTCGACGCACTTGATCTTGTGGGCCTTGCAGAACTGCTGGAGAGTGTAGAAGGCACCTTCTTCGTAGGCCTCGCAGAACTCAGACTCCAGCTCGGCCACCCACTGCTCCACTGGCTTCTTCTCTTGATGCGAGAACTCCCCAGCCTTTGTGCACCTGTCCTTCCTGAGCGCCTCGCAGCGAGCATCGAGAGACGGGCAATCCTTCCTCTGCGCCTGCAAGGTCTCGAAGCTGCAGCCGTCGAAGAAGCGCCTGCGCATGTCGAAGCAGAGGTAGCACTCGCTGCCTGTCAGGTACACCTCTCCCGTGGTGCGGCTCCTCTCGGCTTTGCTCCACTTCACGCGGCGCGTCCCGTCCCCGTGCCTGTCCATGTCCTGGGACGTCTGCTTACATGCCTCGCAAGTCCTGGGCGGCGCTGCCAAGATCTCCTCTGCCCAGGTGACCTTCTTCTTGATGCTGTGCTTGGCGACGGCCTTTTTGCCACCAGCCGCGGACTTGCCCATCGTGCAAGATGGCGCCAGGCTGCCAGCTGCCAGGCTGCCTGCCGACGGCGGCCCGTCGCTCGGGGAGACTCGAGGACTGAGGAGCCCAGCGCACCCAAGCGCCAGAAATGCCTCGAGCCAAAATGGCTACAGAACAGGACCTGGAGCCGTCGGGGGCCCTGAACGTTCACTAGAGTTGTCGTTCTTTCTTTCGAGGCCCTCAGGGCCCACTGCCCCTCGCCTTAAGGGCCTTCTGGCCCGCGCGCACTGAGACCCCAAGGGCACTTGGTGTTACAGGAGACCACGTCGAGGCACTTAAGATCCCTGAGGCTCTTAAAGGCTCTGAATTTTCATGCTGGGACTCGGTTTCCCGTTGCCCATGGCCCTAAGGTTTGCAGCTTGCAGACATCTCGAAAGAGTTCGTTAACTCCCCCACTCGCCCAAAGAGCCCGAAGGACCATGCAACCGTTTCTTCGACCAAGTGCAGGGCAGGAGGAGGAGGGCAATGCGCCGATGCGCCCTCGGCAAAGCGACGCACAGCTGACACGAAAAGGCCCTGGGGAGGAGGAGGAGGAGGAGAAGAAGGAGGAAGAGGGGGGCGGATGAGGAGGAGGAGGAGGGGGAGGAGTTAAGAGTTAAGGGAGTCTCGGAGAGTGGGTGGAGCTCCGTCGATCCTGCGATTTCCCCGCTGTGGCTCAAGAGCGGACTGTGTTCAACATGATCCTGAAACTGACGCGGCGCAGGTTGCCTAGGCTGCGGGCCGCTGGGCCAGGAAACTGAGCAGCAGGCTGAGAGACTGAGCAAGTGGCGGCGCGACTGCACTGCCTGCACTGCCTGCACGCCTGCACGCCAAGAAACTGCACAGGCTGAGACTGCTGAGCCGAGCGATGCATCACGCATCTACTCAGAAAGAGGGTGAGCTGCTCTCCTCTGGCTCATCATCTTGAATCGCAAGCGCTTCCTGCTGGTCGCTGAGCTGAGAATCGGCATCGAGGGTGTTGTACGCTAGCTCTCTGATCCTCTGAATCTGACGCTTGATCTTGTTGAACCTGCGCTTGAGGCTCAGAAACCTGTGGAACACATGGCTGCTGTTGCTGAGCACCCTCGTGAGGAACCTCTGCTGGCCTGGAGTCAAGACCCCCATGATGGCCTGCACGCGAGGCGCAGTCAGCGGCGGCGGGCGCCGAGCCTTGGGAGCCATGTGTTACACTGTAAACGCGGGAAAGATGTCGGCATCGAGAGCCTCGAGCCTTGAGCCAACCATATGCCCCTGGAACTGGCCTAGGGGCTGCGGCTCCTACTCGGACTCCTCACCACGGTACAACAGTTATTTCCAATTACCCCTTCACATTCAGGCTCGTTGGAACCCCCTACGTCCACGACCACCGCGATGTAGCAAGCAGCGTGCCCATGTTAGACTGCGGGGCTAATGGGAACGTCACTTCGAGAACGTGCTTACATTTTCATGCAGACGGCGGGCGCCAACAAATTAAGAGGCTACGCGAATGCCGCGAATGCACCAACCAGTGACGCGAACACCAACTCGATTTGCACCTCCCAAGCTCCCGCCGCAGGCCGTGCAAATCAGCCATGCACCACCGAGGCTCCTGAACAAACGCGTGTTCAGGAGGGGGCTCCTGAACAAATTTTGTTCAGGAACCCCAAAAACACAGTGTTCAGGAGGCATCTCCTGAACAAAATTTGTTCAGGAGCTTGTTCAGGAGCCTGCCAGGCCCCGTGGGACTCCCTGGGACCCCTTGAAATTCGCTCAGCTGAGCGGTGCAAATCAAGTTGGCCCATAAACAGCGCACGCGGCCCCCCGTGCCGACGCCTGGCCCGAGGGTCGCACAGAAGTCTGAGAATATCGAGGCCCTCCACGATTTCACTTGTCTCCCTCCCGTCTCCCCTCTCCCTCCCGCCTCCATCATATGGGAAAAATGCTAGCCTCCAGAGGATGCAGCTGCATGGTGCCCCTCCCTGAGCAAATCTGCAAGCTCGTCAAGGAACTCCTGCTCTTCCCTTCCGAGCCCTGGCCTGTTCGACCAATCCTGGGCAACCAAAAAGTTAGCTCGCTTCAAGCGCTCAGGCAGAGAGGGAACGCAATGCAGGTGGACTCGCCTGACGCTCCACATCGCATCTGCACTCGCAGTATCTGTCATGCGGTGCTCCACGCGCCACATGCCCTTGGGAATCCCTTCTCCGCAGACCCCGCACACGGCTCGATTGGTGGGGGCTTTGCCGTATCCAATCAAGCCTGCTTCGCCGTGCGGTCTAGGGGCCTCGGGCCCCGCAGGGGGGGCAGGGGGCGGCGGCAGCGGAGGCGGAGGAGGGGCGCCTGGCTCATCATCGGGCTCAGGCTCAGACGACGACCCCTCGGTGGCCTCAGCCGCTGACATCTCAGGACGGATTGATTCGCCTCCAAGGTCTGATGCATCGGACTCGACATCCACTCCAACTTCAGCGGTGGGCGCACCCCCGTGCCCAAGACCACCCGCAAGACAAGTATCAGGACCATGTGGCAGGGTAGGACTTGTTGTTTCCAGGCTCATTCCAAATGGCATCCACTGCTTGGGCTCGTCAACTTTTTTGGCCCCAACCTTGCGGGTTTTGACAAGATCCAAATCTACGCTGAAGAACTCCCCAAGTCGATATGCAAACTCGATGCCATTTTCACGGGGGGCTTTGAGCAATTTGCTGGCCGTGAGCTTCGCAAGGACAACTGGGCGGCCATCATTGTTTACACGAGCTTCCAAAAGGAATTCCCTCAGCAAGCGATGGAATGGTAATGTTACGAGCTTCCCCTGGCAATGTCTTTCAAGCCCCCAGTTACCACTTGGGAACGTCTTGACCCTGGAGACGGCGAAAAAACTCCCCTGCACCAAACTTGAAAGTGAGGACCACATTTACTTCGACACCAGCAGCCTCCAACTGCAAATGCAACGGCAATGCTACGTGCTTTACACCTCTGCTGGCCAAGTGGGCGTGCAAGTTCTTGGCCCCTGAGCGGCACGACGACGGCCATCTTGCTGCCGAGCCCCCTCCCCCCGTGCCTAAACACGTTCGCTCCCCCCTTTTGTTTTGGGACTCAGCATAAGACGCGCCATTGTATTGTTGCGTTCGGTTATCACCCTATTGGACACGTGCGAAGAGCAGCGCAAGGTGTGAGAGTAGGTGGCACCCTCGTCGTGTATTTCCGTCAGTCCGCCCTCCCCCTACCATGCCTGCTTGATGCTTCCTAAACCTTACGGTTGGACCCACCATGCCTATCTTCATACTACAGTAGCCCGAGACATGGCGCGAGGCCTTCTCAAGGAAACCCAGCCCCAGGGACCACACTGTCAATGTTAGCAGGGGGGGAGGGTGCGAGACAGCAAGATGCCCTGTCGCCGAGGCCACTTTAGCTGGCGAAGCTCCTGCTCTCACGTAGTCGTAATAATAATCCTGCGGGCACAAGCCAGACAAGCAACACACCTGCTCCGCAGCAACCGAGACTCCGTTCGGCACTGGTTCAGGATCATAGGAGAATAGGCGGCGGGCTTCACGCGCGATGTCCACATCTGTGTCACGCACGTTAACCAGCGACGGCTTCAAACCAAGTCCAGGGCAATCCAGACGA